ATATATATATATATATATATATATATATATATATATATATTGTTGTAATTTCTTCATTTATTTTAAGCACTTGTCTTTTTTCTTTCTTTTTGACAATGTATATATAGATGTTTTTTTTTTCTGTTATTATCTTAAAAGCAATAAAAATAAAAGACAACATTTACCCAGTTTCTCCTTCTTTAACTCTACCATCTGGGTAAATGGTTTGTATATAACTGTTGTTAGCCAGCCACCAGACATCAACATCAGAATGATTATTTGCTCCAATGAAAACTCTACATGGGATGGTGAGGTGAGAACCTGTTTTGAAATGAAATACAGAGTTAAGGCAAATAAATATATATACACCATCCCAACTTTGAATTTTTAAGGTATTTTCAGAAGAACATTTAGCAACCAGGATGAAGTAATTATGATGTAACTCGACTTTAATAGGTTGGTTTAATTTCAGCATATTCACTGGTTTTTGTTCAATTTTTATTAGTCCTGGTATTAGTTCAAGTATGTACCAGAGAATACTGATTCTAGCCAGAGAAGAAATTAGTTCTATGATTAATTGCTTTCAGAAAGCCAGCACAGTTTGCAATTCTCATGCAGTTACTCTGAAATACTGTAATCCTATTGGCTTTCAAATAGTTATGGGATCCAGGTAGAAATCCACTTCAGCAACTGCAAGTATGGAATTGGACAAGTACCCCAGTCAAATTAGTTTCATCTAATCAGGAGGCCACTGATTTTCATTTCACTAAAGTAACAGGCATGATCAAAGACCCAGCCTGAAGCCCTAGGGATAATATTGCACACTGTGTTTATGACCACCTGATATAAGTGCAACACACACATCCCTGCAAAAAAAAAAAAAACCTACCAAAATATGAACATCCTCATTACCAAACCTTGTTCATCATTTGGCACTTGGGGATGGATAATTTGGCCACATTAGTGCCTAGAGAACTCTTCCATAGATTCAGTAATGAAAAAAAATGGAAATGGTGGTTAAAATCATCACCTTTTTAAAATAACTTTATGCAGGCAAGATTGCTCTCTCTCTCACACACACACCTCTGGAGTGTGGGAAAGTGAGCTTAAAACGGCTTCCCTTTTAGCAGTTCTAATCAAGGTGACTAATAATATAATATAATAATATCTATTTGCCATTTGGGGCTTTTTTTTCTTTAGCTTTTTTTCCTTATTGTTAGTGTGAGATGTTAGTTTTTCTGTTTTGTAATCTGTTCTTGTTAATAAAAGAAAATAAACATGTAAAAAGGTGACTAATATTGACCAGCATATCATAATGCCTGATAATGGATAGTCATAAGAAGAGTAATTTAAGCACTTGAACTTTTTGTTCATCAGTAATCTGTGACTATTCATGACTCCATATTATGTGTTGTAAGCACCATGGAATATCAATATTTTTAGCAAACTCATTTTATGCCCAATTTAGAGTTTAATTTATTTTTACAACTGGCTTATGTTTCTGTAAATAAACAATATTTTATTATCCCATTACTGGTTGTAAAATATTTACAGAACATATTAGCTCCAAATAGATTCTTCAGAACAACACTGAAGTCAAGAGAATAAAGGTATGCTGGTAATATCACTGATATTTGAACAATTTATTCAGTGTTGCAGTGCTTACCCAATATATGCAGAATTTTTTTTTTAAAAAAAACAGTTTCAAAGTTATTTAACTAATCACTCCTTGAACTACCAATACCGCATCCCTCAACCCCATCCTTCTTGAGTCATGCTTCCACTCGAAGAGTCCAGAATCATGTGAGTCAATGCAATGTTTTGT